TTATTTTAGTAAAAATATTTAACGTAGTTTATGATAAATATCAATAGTTTTTAAGTAACTTTAGCAAAGGGTCCACCGCAGAAGAGAGAAGTGACACAGCATCTGCGTCAAGAAGACATCTTTTTTATTGCAAGATTTGTAGAAGAGCTGATGATGCGAAGCAATATAGAAACTTCTTCGGTTATTAAAGATAAAGATAAATTTATTGCCAGTGACATTCCCCTGCGGTATTCCTGACGTAACGCTTGCCCCTGCAGAAAACTCATGGCCAATAGGGACTTTCTGTTTTCTGTCTCGCAGAAACTCGCCAATCCAGGTCACCACCCTGAAATCTATGCTTGAATTAATTAACTTCTCTACGAGGCGATCGACATCAAACGCTTTGGCAAAATCTGTCGTCTACTCTCTCGCCCGCGTCAATTTTATCTGTTAGATCCTGTAATAGCGTGGCTACCTGACTTTCACATGAATTCCTCCTCAAGCCGTGCCATTTTGATTTCCCATTCTTGCTTAATGTAACTGGCAAATAGATACTCCATACGTTTGCAGACCACTGACGACTTACCGGCCTATAATCACTTAATATAGTTTTGTCACCACTTTTAAAAGTTGGTACGACAAAAGCTAATTTCCAGTCTTCAAGTACTTTAGAATTGTTCATGGATACGTGAAATATTGTAATTAGGTACGGTAATATTGCCTCTCCTCCTAGTTTAATTATGTCTGTATAAATGTCATCTGGACCCTTGACTTACCATTTTTCATTGATTTTACTTTATTCCGTAGAACGTTCACTTCAATATTAAACTTATTTGTAACAGAAGACCCCTGAATTAATGAATGGTTTGTATTGCTTTTGAAAACCGAACTGAAATACTTATTAAACGCATTAGCTTTTGCCAGATCGTTAGTAATGAGCGTGTTTCCGTTCTCACGAACAACTGGGATATCCTCTATATTTCCTTTCCTTCTACGAGCATATTTATAAAATCCTGTCCAGTTATTTGCCTTCTCATCAAAAATATTTTGTAAATATGCTTCCTGAGAAATTTTCTTTTCTCGTTCCAATTCTTTCGAACGATTTCTAAAATTATTCATATGTTCGCTACTGAGTTTTCTGTTATTGAATGCCTTTCTCGTTACCCTGTTCATTCTCCTAATTTTTGCATTGTAGTATTCTGTGTCCGAATTATTGTTTTAAAATTTTGCAGGAAATAAATCTTTGCAAAGCTTCGTGTATAATATCTTTGAACGCGCCCCATATTTCTTCCATACCTCCCTCGATTCTCAGAAAGCGATTGTATTGTACCCTAAAAAACCTTGAAGCTCGTCTACATTTGCTTTTTTGAATTGCCGTACTTTTGTTCCTATCGTGATACCTTTCTTTGAAATATTTTCGTCTATGTCAAGCAAAACCACTCTGTGGTCGCTAATGCCCTCAATAACTTCATAAGATATGAAAAGTTCTTTCGGCCTAATTAAGTAGACATCTAAAACCGCATCCTGCCGCGTCCCGTTCCGAACTACCTGAGTTAATATCCTGACAAAACTGCCTATTGAGGCTGAAAATTCACATTGTTCAAAATTGAGTAAAATTAAAATAAAAGTGTCAGGTGAAATTGTTTCGGATAATGTTGAATTTAATTTTACAGATATTGGAATCAAGACCCTGATACTGCTCAGACTCCAAAAAGGAAGTGTCCAGGAATAGAAGGGAAAAACACGTGAAGTGGATGATTTTGGACAGGGCTTGATTAGGCGCATTATTTATTCAATGTACGAGAATGGTAAGTAATTTATTTATATTTGTATGGAAATAAATGATAATTGTTATTGTAAAATCTGATTTTTTGGTGCGAAATATGAAACTGAAGGCTGAAGGTTATTAATTTGTGTTTTTGGATGAAACTTGGTTTTATTGAAAAGGCAAGCAAAAAGTCTACTAAATTTTGTAGTGTTGAAAATTATGAAATTCTAGATATAATTGAATGGAGAAGGCATGCTTTTCATTATATAATGTATAAAAAAAGAAATGCATGTTACCTTTGAACATAACTGAAATATTTAAACATATTTTTGCCATTTCCATTTTTTTAGAAAGTGAAAAGGCCTTCATCAAAATGGAGGAAGGGTTACCTGCAGCATTTTCCAACTCAGAACAACATACCCTTTAGACCTGAGCATACCTTTAAGAATCTTCATTTGAAAACTTCTTAAGTAGTTGTTCAGAAAAGGTACTCTTACGCATGAGTTTTGTTGAATTAATCATAGAATAAGGCAGTTTTATTTTTTGCATCAATTTGATACAATGTGAGTGCCAATGTTTTCATTATTTGAAAAATCATATCAGTTGATGTGGGTGCAGATACGTTGTAGATGAAGTGATTGAAGAAGCTGGACTTAGAGTTTTGCGCCTCCCCCCCTACCATTGTCACTACATTCCTATCGAGTTGGTATGGAACCAGTGCAAAATATATTATCAGAGACACCGCGGAGCAACTTTTGACCACCAAGCAGTGACAAGAAAATGCAAGCAAGCATTAAAATGGATCCAGTGGAGAAGTGTGTGAATATTAAAATGAAAAACAAAATATTGCCTAGATATTTTGCAGAAAATTTGTTAATATAAAGTAATTATTCATTCTGTACATTGCTTTAGTTGGAAGAATTGTATGACACACATAAGAGAAAATTATAGAAGAAGATTGGAAAGTAGAAGTTAGGCAGGATCCCCCAGGGATTTCTGTCATAGCAAATATTCAGGATGACTCTGATGATAACGTTCCTCGTGCTGTTCCCATGCCTGGGCTCTTGTGTCTCTACTTAAGAGAGATATGGTCAGTATATTTACATGTTTAATGCAGTATATTTCATAGGTTTGAAAAAAGATTTGACATAACTCTTGTTCTTCTCAGGTGGAGAATTAAAAGTTTGTATTATTCCATCAAGGGTAAGTAAGTGGTTACATTTCAGGTGAAATCGTGCATCTTTATTGATTTTAAGCTGATCTATGCTTACTGAAATAAATGGTCCTTGGCTCGCTTCTCAGAAGTAATGTAGCTTTTTGCCCTTCGTATGGGTAGGTGTACTTCTCAGAAGATATAACTAGACACTTCATTATGTCTGCATATGTTAACTTCCTTTGTAAATTCTTTTTAGAAATTATTGTACAATTTTAGTTTTTTTATTAAACGGAAGAAGTTTTCAGTTATAAGAAGTTAATTTTTTATGTATATGAATCAGGTATGTAAAATGATGTGTGAATAAAAGTATGTGAAGTAAAGGTTTAATTGTGAATGAATGGGTTGAAAATATATTTTATTAACATTCATTCATACTCATCGATAATTAACTTCAAGTAATAGAAATATTAGTTCTTTTAATAAAAAAGAATTAGAAATGAAGATTTAATGAAAAGAAAAGTTTTATCTTTTGAGTATGTTAGTTTCTTGTGTTGTACATCTTAATGCGATACATTATTAAAATTATCCAAAACGGCTGTTAGGACTGCTTTGAAAACCAATAAAGTTTTGTCGTTTAAGAAGATATAATAAGTACATTGTTCATTGTTTTATCTTCTTAGTAAAAATTCAAATGTATAATTTTTATTTCAAAATGTTTACTCCTCACCCTGGCAAATGTGGTAGGCTGAGGCTAAAGGTGTTAATAGTAGGTTGTGAATATTTTCTAAAAGCACTTAAGGAACTCATTTTGATTTTATATAGTTTGACATTAAATTATCTAAGTGGATAAAATTTATTGAACTTCAAATGGATTTGGTGGAAATATATCCTTCAAATAAATCATCATGCAAATAAACAAATGGATTCACTTATACGATTGCTTTTTTATTTTACTTTTCACCTAATTTTTAATCAACTTTTATAAGTAGATAATAAAGTTATTGAAGGTATGAAACGTTTCAATTTTCATTTCTAAGTCTAAAACTTGCACAGTGATAATGAAAAATCATCCGTCTTCCATTAATTTCAATATATTATTTAATATCCTTTTAATGACAGGTGAGTACAATAATTCATAGCACTTTTTAACCTCTTTTATCTTACTATCTTATTATAGAACCGACTTGATTTCCATATTTAAGAAATTTACCTGACGTAACTGATCAATAGAATTAACTGAGAATTCTGCCAAACAGTAGTCTAGAATATCTACTAACCCATATCCTTTTTCTCACAGAAATCTTTGAATGTAGTGTGAAAATTTTCCAAGATTGTACAATCAGAACAACCCCCAATTATGAAAAGAAAATAGCAAATTAATGGAAGTTTTATATTAATTATACATGTCTAACATGTCAATTAAGTCTTGTTTTACCAGTCAATCACTAAACAAATTATAGTATTTAAGTATTATTACAACGAATTCACAATTAACTAACCAAATCTGTAAGTCACTGGTCAATAATTGATACACTGACGGTCAGTCATAAGATGAGAAACGTGAAAATGAAATTGCAATTTAAACACCAGATATCATAACTGCACATCCTTATACAGCACACATTAAATTAAATCTTCTGAACACGCAAGATCGAAAAGTACCGGCAGAATTCCGATAGTTTTTACAAGGCCAACGTGGGAACTTGGAAGAATATTCCGTATCATTCTCGTACCTGATGGCTTAATTCAATCTATCACACATGATCTCAACAGTATTTCGAAATGTTTTGAAACAGTATAATTTTTCATCAATAATGATACGGAATTAAATGAATCTCTCGTGGAAACTACTTTTAATCTTCACGCGATCAAAATTACGTTGAACAACAAAATTCAGTCAACCGCGGCCAGCTGTTAATGCTACTCTGACTGTCGGAAGAATATTTAGTGGAGAGCGATGCGGTCATAGGCGACGCTCATCTGTTATAGAAGCTGTCATTACAATCGTTTACTGTCCTGAACGCTCCGTAAGAATTCTATCAAATGTTCAGTTGACAGCGCAAAGGTCTGGTGAGTCATGTGAGCGGCGCGCCATACCTCCACGTAGCCCCGCGTAGCGGGAGGTTCAGTAAGCGGTGAACCCCGAGCAGCTGGAAATGAGAGCGAGGAGAGGCGGCAGGCAACGGGGAAAGATGTGGCCAATATATGACGCGTCATCCGAAGACACCCGAAAGATGCCGAAACCATACGACCGCCACAGAGCCTTCTTTGTCCATGAAGACAGAGACTCAGGGGAATCCCAAGCTTTCATCCTCGAACGAACACTCGTGCCAACCAACTACCACATTGCTGTGGTTTATAAAACATTTTCTGTATCTTCTTCAAAAAAATATGAAATAATTTAAATAATTAAAGAAATTTGATTTTAATGTATTGAGGTATTAAATATTTTCTATGTCTTTGAAAGTTTCTAATTCTTTACTTAAGGTTATATTCAAAGGTTCGCTATTCTGATAGCTGTGACAAATGATTAGAAATCACTTCGCCATGTGGGTCAGTGTTGGCTGGTTGGCTTGGCGTGGTTGACTCAATGTGAATTGATGCTGCACTGGGATGTGAGTTATGAACGTTGTTGCGGTAAACGAATGTGTACGTGTGTGTGTTTGTTTTCGTATCTGAATCGAGTTGTCAAGAAGGATAACAGTGCTCCGTTTTTAATATAAAATTTGAGAATCTTATCACATTCTGTGATCGAATAAACACGTGAATATGAGGCACGTGTGTGGAATGAATTATAATTGATGATAAATAGTGTCCAGTCACTTTTATAAATTAGTTTTGCGAATATTAGTATTGACAAGTTACGAATTAAGGAAATTTAAGCGAGAATACAATCACTTTTGTGCATAATTTAGTAAATACAAATGCCTTTTTCTTTGCCTATTTTATGAAAGGTAAAATCGTAAACTTCCGGATTCTAATAAACATGAAAGTCACAACCAAGTAAAGTCGCTGCCGGCTTGAATAGGAGAGGTCGTTAATACTGAAGGGCCGTAGCTACCTCAGTTCGAAGGGTCGCGGGTTCGATTCCCGCCTCGCGCATGGATGTTTGTATGTGTTCGTGTTGTCCATACGTGTTCTTCCTTCAGTTCCCCTTACAGTTAAAATAACCAGAGTGGCCGCTGCATGACCAAGTTGTTAAAAAGAAACGCAAAACTACGAAGAAGAGGAAAAAAAGTAAATTGTTAAACTCTGGTAACAAATCCTTTTTAATAGCTCCAGCGTAATCTTATTTCAAGATTTACCAGACCGCTTCGTCGTCTGCCCGTCCCTTCCTTTTGTCTCCACGCGCATGTTGCTGTCCGTAGTTGCCGTCCTGACGCGGCAATTTCAACCGCAGAGACCGCAGGTCTCTTCCCTTTCCCCACCTCCCCCTCCCCCTCCCCCTCCCTTGTCTCGTGCGCTTATCAGCGACCGGCTGTGACGAAACGCCGTCATCGACACTCGCCGAAGCCGCTCGGGGCCCAGCCAGTGCGACCGCAGTCGGGCTGCGAGTGAGCGAGCGAGTGGTAACAGGGGCCGCGGCCGGGCCTGCCACCGCGAGGAGCGACGCACGGACATGGAGAGCGCCGCGTCGGCCGCGGCCTTCGCCAGCCGCGCCCACGCGCCGGAAGACGACCGCAACATGTGAGTCGAATGCTGAGCGAGGCGGTGTTTGCGTCTGCTGCCGCTGGCGGGGCCGATTAGGCGTGCCACGGACCTTGGATGTGACGTCGATAAGACGTGTTTGGACTCGACGTGTCGCTGCGTGATTGCACTGAGCTACGCGCGTGCCGAAGGGGAGTGTGAAAGCTCACGGGACTTTTTGTTGAGGCAGACCGCAAGTGTTTTTTTGTCTTCCTTTTATTTGTCGATTCAGTAGGTGATAAGGTTAACTATCATAATTCTAGTATTTACGTATGTTCGAAGACTGTCCACTGTAATAATAATATTGTTTATTAACCGATCATTATGCATCGGCAGTTTAGGCGCTATAAACTGTTTTGGGTACCTAAAATATGATCTCTATAAATTACTTTTAGGCACGTGAAGTAACCATTTAGTGTTTATATACAAATGTATAGCATGTAATATGATTATTCAAAAATAATCAACAGTTTGACAGTTATTGTCTTTCTCTCACAATAATATTATTTAGATGCCCAACTTCTATCGTCAAATGGTATTTAGGTTTTCTAATTTTAAAAAGTGTAAATAATTGTAAAATATGCTAAAACTCGAATCCACCATCATATAGTTAATGAGCAGTAATCTTTCTTTCGCCTAATTAACTGTCGCCTATAGATTCCGGGAGTCCTCGGTCAAAAACAATGTGTGCATCCTATTTTAAGCAGATTAACTCCTACAACAAATCTTTCTTGTGGGCGGGAAAATAGACACCTCATTGAAGCAAGCTAGCGACCTATAGCTGACCACAAAAAGTACATGGCATTGTTTAATACTAATTAAATACTCATTATCTATCATAGTTTTAAATTAATTACGCCAGCCATTTTGTAAAAAATTGAGGGTCAGCTAGCTTCAATCTGAAGATAGCTAGACACAAAAACTAATATATCAGAAAAATTTAACAATAATTGTTTAAAAAATTTGGAAATATCTACAAAAACAAAATTTATGGATCATATTTCAAAATGCATCCTTACCGGCAAACAATGATTTCAGTATGCTAATTACATGTGAACTAAGTATATATTTTTACCATACAATACCACAAATAGGTCCAACAAGCAATTTTTAAAAATACCACCAAAGTCATTACTCAAAACAATTTTACAAATATTCTTTGATTACTTTACATTCACCGTGAAGTGTCTATCAAATTAGTTTATGGAAGGGAAATGGATACGTTATTGCACTTTGAATGTGGAGAAGCACGTTTGTAATAGTCATGTTACTTCACAACATGCGATTGTGTTCCCGTTGAATTTTTGTGTTTTCTCTTCTTCGTTAGTTAATAATGTCTGAGTTATGAAGGTTATTACAAGTTTTAATTTAAGTACGGTTTCTGATATGCATGGCAATATTACGTTCATGTACATAAGTTGATGAACGCCTGAAAAAAACTGGAAGTTGATCATCTGAAAGATGTTCAACAATTTGAAGGCATGCTAACATAAAAAAAATATTATTCTAAATATCCCTAAAGTATACAGATATAATGTTAGCAATAGATAACTTATTCATTATTACAATGTGCAGTTTAAACAGCAATACGACAATAATTAACTTAAACATATAATTTAAAAAATACAAGTGTAATAATGACCTCTGGTATAAAATAGAGTTTCTCAACGAAAAGTTCTGTAAGAAGTTGTGAAGTATTTCTGAATTTCGCCGTTTAGTACTTTTACTTAAAGGTTTTGTCTTATATATGATACCTATATAACCTGTGTAAAGGTTAACGCTTCTTTATAAAAAATTGCATACAGTTATTAATTGTGAAGCCATTTGATCAATAATTATAAAGAGGTAGTAACAATGTGGTGTTAGTAGTTTTGGGGTTCGCCGGTATAATGTAATTTTAAGAATTAAAAAAATGTAAGTAATGACTTCGGTGGTATTTTTAAACAATTGCTTGTTGGACCTATTTGTGGTATCGTATGGTAAAAATATATATTTAGTTCACATGTAATAAGCATACTCAAAAACTTTGTTTGCCTGTAAGGATGCTTTTTTCAATTTGTTTCATTATTTTGTTTTTGTAGATATTTTTACATTTTTTAAACAATCACATTTTATAATAATGTTCAAATGGAGTAGTAATTAATTTATGTTTGCTTGTTAATTTTGTTTTATAATTTCTGATATATTTGGATTTGTGGCTAGCTAACCCTCGATTTTTTTTAAATGGCAGGCGTAATTAATTTAAAATTATGATAGTTAATGAGTAATTAATTAGTATTAAAAGATGGCATGTAGTTTTTTGTGGTCCGCTAGAGGCGGTTAGCCAGCTTCAGAGAGGTAAAACAGACTGTTGTTTCGTACTGAGAATTTCAGAAAAATAGGACAATTTTTGTTCCGCGATTCGGCAATCGTAGGGTCACGCAATACGTGCATCCCACCGGAGCTCAGATTTGATTATGGGTGTAAGCACACGTTGCTTTGCTACAAGGTAGATTCAACATTTCAATGCTGATTCCATTTTTTACCCCAGGTTTGTTAGCCTTGGGGGATGGGATGAAATTATAATGATGAATGATGAAATAGACGCAACACAGACAGAGACACACACAACCCAACTATGTCCAAGGCGGGACTGAATCCTACGATACTTTGATTCGAGCCAGTCACTGTACTACGGTTTAAGCGATCTCGGCCGTCGGACCGGCAATAATATTTTATTTGACATTAATCACAAATGGTATGGGAATATTCCCACGCGATTACTTAAGGGTTAATAATATTGGGCGTTTGTAGTGATTAAAAAAGAATATATCAAAAAATAAAGTATAAATATCGAAGTTTTTGGGTAAAAACGAAATAAGGCGAAAGAGAGTAAATTGCTTGAAAGGGCTGAAATAGGCTAAATATTATCTGTTCATCCTAAGAAACCTGATGTAAACAAACTGAAAAAAATATTTGCGCCGCACTACGACTCTGATTGAACAACTAGCGCACTGATTTAGATTACATGAGCAGCATTCCTTGCAAATTCAAATTGAATTAGAGCTGTCGTCCAAATGTCATGCTCCTGCAACTACGAAATCATTTTCAATCTGTCTACTTCAAGAAAGGGTTGTCAATAACCGCATGTTGTCGGTTATTTGTATAAATTGGTAGCCCCAATATTCGGAAGTTCTTGATTACAATTAATAGACTGCAACAATTTTTCAGGCGTTGGTGTTTCGTTTCTGCACTTTCGCCCTTTTGATGCAAGGAATGCTCTTTCGATCGAACAGCACAGAATACTAAGTCATCGTATGCTTCAATCACAGTTTCGTCCCCTTTCTTTTCATCTCTGGCGTTTGTGTTTTCTGGAATTCCAATACGCTGGACACCGAAATTGCAGTGAACTCCGCGATTTGCTTCACCGGTAACGACAAACTCTTAAGCAATAACGAATTGAACACGTTAAGAACGATGCGCTTTTCGCTACTCCAAAGAAACTCTTCACACTTGTGTTCAATTATTGAAGGGTCAAACCACAATCATTGCTAAATTAATGCATTGAATAGCAGGGCGTTGCCGGTCGATTGGCGGCGCGACGCCGCAGTCCCACGAACCGCGTCCCATTCGTCTCGATCAGCACTTTCGTGGACTGAGGCTCCTAAGAGTACTAACCTTATCGCCCAGCAACGCATTCAGTGCACAAAGGTCTCCTTTCTTGAAACCGTTGCAATAGTTTTGACGCAAGATTAATTTAATGAACGCTGGCAGATAGATTAGTTCTTATACAGAGAATTGTTTACTTCAGCGCCAGGATTCCGACGACAACTGGGCTCACACTGCAAACCAATGAGAATCATCCTAACAAACGTGCATTTGTTTACATCAGGATTTTCCTTAGGTGAACGGATAATAACGTCGAAAAATGCATTTTAACCATTATAAAATTTACATATTTAGGCTTTAAATTGCTTGCTAAAAAATGAAAATACAGAAGCTCACATTTGTGTAATACGGTACGGTATAAAATAGGCTTTTGATTAAAATTCGCTATCTACTTATTTGCTATGGCATTGAAATTATAAATTTAGTAATTCATTTAAAATATTAGCTTTTCTACAAGGATTGCTGGTAAGATATAGCTAAGTAACATGGTAATTAGAGAACATTCGACGACAAAAGGAAGTTTTTTAGATATTTATAAGATAGAAAATAGTCTATTTCACTAAAATTAATAGAAAATGACTCTTCAGAAAATTGAACAATTTTATCCGATTATTGTTGAATTATTGTTTTAATATTAAGTATTATTATTAATGAAACAATTGTTTTTACTAATGAACGGTACTCATATAAATATTCAAAATTTTGGGCAAATGAAAATATTTATTTTGGGGACCATATTCTTGTAATTCATGTGATCTTTACCTGGCTGCGTAAAGCCAAAGAGAGTAACTGTTGCAGAGTATTATCAGCCTGGATTTATTTATTAAAGTTTCAAATCAGAATAATTTGCCAGTTTTCAGAATGTAACGAACTCGTTGGATTTTAGAATTGAAGGTTTAATCTAGATTTCCTCAAACTTATTAGGTTAAATATAAACAACAAATACATTTTGTTGCACTATTTTGTTGCTAATTTATACTTATACAAAAATACTTTATACTTCATTTTCGTGGATATTTCGTGAAGGCATTGTCGGCGAAAACGAAAGATAGTAGGCGGAATTGTCTCTCCTTTTACCTTGATTTTCCTTTTCTTCTGTTTTTGTGCCTTGGTTCTTTTTTAAGCCTCCTTATTCTTTTTTACGAAATTTTCGTGGCTCCTCTCCCCGCTGGCCTGGCCTTTCTTCACTTGCGAGCGCCCTGCTGTCCCCTTTTGGCACGCGCCTCGTCTCGCAGCGTTACAATTTCTCTAACATTATCCGCGACTCTTCACGCCCACCGGTTTGGTGCGGAGCAATTCCGGGGGACGACGCAGCCCTTGAGGTCTGGCGCCCCGGCGTGGCGTGGCCCGCT